CCGCTCTCCTTCCCCCCCCCACCCGGGGCCGGGCCGTGCCCTGGGGGGTCCCCGCTCCCTTCCCGGGGTCGCACTACCCTTCCCGGGGCTCCCCTTCTCCTCCCGGGGTCTCCCCTCCCGTCCCGGGGGTCCTACTCCTCCCTGGGGGGCTCCGGTTCTTCTCTCAGGGGGTCCACGTTTCCTTCGGGGGGGGTCTCTGCTCCCTTCCCGGGGTCTCCGCTCCCCTCCTGGGGGTCCCCACTCCCTTTTAGGGGGCTCCTGCTCTGCCACGGGCGCTCTAGTTCCTCACTCAGGGGGTCCTCGTTCTCTTCACGGGGGTCTCCGCTCCCTTCCCGGGGGTCCTGCTCTGCCACGGGGGCTCCCGTTCTTCTCCCGGGGGTCCCCGCTCCCTTTCCGGGGGACCTACTCCGCCCTGGAGCGTTTAGTTCTTTTTTCAGGGGATCCCCGTTCCCTTCTGAGTTGTCTCCCCTCCCTTCTCGGGGTCCCGCTCCCTTCCTGGGGCTCCCGTTCTCCTCCTGGGGGTGCCGCTCGCTTGTCGGGGCTCCCCACTCCCTTTCCGAGGGTTCTGCTCGGCCACGGGGGCTCCCGTTCTTCTCCCGGGGGTCCCCGCTCCCTTTCCGGGGCTCCCCGCTCCCTTCTCGGGGGTCCTACTCCGCCCTGGGGCGTTGAGTTCTTCTTTCAGGGGATCCCCGTTCCCTTCCGAGTTGTCTCCCCTCCCTTCTCGGGGTCCCATTCTCTTCCTGGGGCTCTCGTTCTCCACCTGGAGGTCCCACTCCCTTCCTGGGGGTCTCCGCTCCCTTCCTGAGGCTCCCGTTCTCCTGGGGGTGCCGCTCACTTCCCGGGGCTCCCCACTCCCTTTCCGAGGGTTCTGCTCTGCCACGGGGGCTCCCGTTCTTCTCCCGGGGGTCCCCGCTCCCTTCCCGGGGGTCTCCGCTTTCGTCCAGAGGTCCCACTCCCTTCCTGGGACTCCCGTTCTCCTCTTGGGGGTCCCCACTCCCTTCCGGGGGGTCCCCACTCCCTTCCGGGGGGGTCCTGCTCCTCCCTGGGGGCTCCCGTACTCCTCCCAGGAGGTTCCTCTCTCCCGTCTCGCCTGGTCCCCTGTTCCCCTCCCGACTGGGCTGTGGCCGTGGGGTGCCCCCCACCCCTCCAGGCTGCGGCGTGGGGCGGTGCCGGTGCGGGTGCCCATCCCCGTTGCCGGTGGCGGGGCGGAGCGGCCGCCCCGAGCCCTATAAAGCGGGCGGCGAAGGTGCCGCAGCGAGGGTGGAGGTCGCCATGAGCCTGATGCTGGAGACGCTGTTGGGGCCCCCGGGGGGGCTCCGCAAGGAGCCGGGCCGCGCTCCCCCGCGCTCCGCCGGCTCCAGCGGCTTCTACTCCTGGCCGGGCCCGGCGGTGGGGCGGGCTCGGGGCGGCGGGGGGGGAGGCGGCAGCGCGGCCGCTTCCTCCACCGAGAGCCTGGACTCGCTGAACGGCGAACCGCGGGCGCGGAACGAGAAGGAGCTGCTGCAGGCGCTGAACGACCGTTTCGCCGGTTACATCGAGCGGGTGCGGGCGCTGGAGCAGCAGAACCGGGCTCTGGCGGCGGAGGCGGCGGCGCTGCGGCAGCAGCAGGCCGGGCGC